TAAACTACGGCAAAACCTAAGTTTTGAATTTCTACAGGACGGCGGGGTGAAGGCTTTATTTCGGCTTCATTATTAAATATTATATATTAAGCCACTGGGCTGAACCATTCACATGAAAACAACGACATCACTAATACAATATGAAACACCTTGAATTATTATATATGTACAGCGAAACTAATAAATCGTGTGATGTCACTAAACACGAACAAAACAAAATGCTGCTTGCAGCAAATGAATTAAGGCTCAAAGACTGAGTAAAAGGTATCTTACTGTCAGCATTAAATAAATTACTAGTGAAGAGTCACCGTCAGTACATTAAATACAATTTGCACATAATCTATATAAACATGCCTTCACTCAGGCTAACCTAGTACGAATGCAATAACTATATAATGAGGGCAAGAGCACCAATGCAAAACCCAGAATTGGAGCTGAGGCGGCCGTCGGAATGTAATCGATCTAAAACCACTGAAAAATAGATGGGAAAAAAATGAAGAAGGAAGGAAGATTATATAGTAAGGGATAGACTCAGGAGTCTATAGGGGTAGGTTCTACATAGCAAAAGAACGCCTTATGGGTTTTCCACCTACCCACTCTCATGACGTTATCCGGTGCGACCCCCGCTCTGATGGCTGCAGTAGCCGCTCCACCTCTGAAGGAATGTGAGGTCAGATGCCGGTGCGCCTAAACCTGCGTCTAAAATAACTTGCTTAACCTTCCTAGCGATGAGATCCCTAGAGGGAGGCGACCCGTTAATGGTGCTGAAAAGGAATTCTCCTGCCCTGCGCATGAGATTAAGTTGCTGGAAGCGATCCCACAACGCAATTTGCTTCCCCCGCAAGCGAAACGCAATCTGCGTTCCGACCCCCACTTGGTCGACCTTAGATCTACTCAAAAACAGCCACCACACATTATCGCCCTTAGCGCTGAAATCTCCGCAACGTATACTGCAGACTTCGCTGACTCTCAAAAAGCGACGTACATGAGGAGAACCATTGACGCAGATTTAATAGCCGTATCGGACCCTACTTCGAGGGCCCAATCGATTATTAAACTTACGTCCTCAGGCGAAGCTTTAGTCCTGTGCACCACTGGGGGGCGAACCCTTGCAGCCGATCTCAAAAGAGCCCTCTGTATATCCTGATCCACCTCAGGAAGCGGACCGAAGAAGTGCCCTAACGCTGCAGCATGTACTTCCAGAGCCTTCAATCTCCCCTTATCGATGAGAGATGCCAAGTACAGGTTCCTAAGTTTATGAATCGCCGACGCCGGAACGTTAGACTTCTGAAGGAACTCCATGAAGTCCTTCCTGACTTTCTTATGCGCTGCCAAGGTTCCTCTCTAAACTGACGCGTCGGAAACAGCTGTTTACGATATTTGCGATCGACGGGAGACCCATATTGGATGCTAATGCAGCTACCTCTGCAGCTCTTCGCCCTCTCGGGCTGGACACAACCTGGAAAAGACATCACCATTGTCTGATAGCGAGCTCTAACTCTGAAACCAGAACAAAAGACAGACAAAACAAAAGACAGACAAGGGGAATGGTCTACCACTGACCCTTACTCTAACCCTGAGTACCCGAGGTAATGTACCCATGAGACATGCTCAACAGCATAGCTGCGGGCACCTCAGCGCTAGTACCTGAGGTGTGACTTGTTCCCCAAACAATGAGGATGTTGGCATAACTACAGGCTACCGTTAACGTAACCAGGAGCTATGATGCATACTACCTCGCGGACATACGTGGGTCACCGCAGGATGACTGGAAATGTGTCCTGGGGAGAAGTAATGACCAACCCATAAAGCCTGTCAGGCTAGATGCTATTCTATCTAGCAAAATGGGATGGGAGGGAGGGCAGTAAAGCCGAAAAAGCCGGAATGGCAAGAACTCACATGAGGCCCCGCCCCCATGTGAGTTCGCGCCGAAGCGGCGCGGTTCGCGCCGCCGCGGCGCGGCTCCCGCTTACGCGCCGCGTCCTTAGGAAATTCAAAACAACACTTTTACCTCCGATAAACTACGGCAAAACCTAACGTTTTGAATTTCTACAGGACGGCGGAAAGTTAAAGCCCGAGGGTCAGCAGATGAACTTGCAAACACGAAATCAAAATTCAGTTGCTCTTCGCCAAAGGTGAACGAGGGTGAATTGCCCTTGAGAACTGGGCACCCCGCTGGAAAAATTCTAATATCTTTTATTTCCGGTATCCAATCGTTCCCTTCACGAAGAGCCGAAAAGAACAAATGAGAACGGCCAAAAAGGAAAAGCTAAGATGCCTGCACTACCACTATCCAGTGCAGTTTTAATAGTTCTCAAGATGAGATTAGGAGGAGGAACCCACCATATAAACTCTGAACTCCACCACTGGTTGAGCTTCCGAAGAGAATGCGTCCTTAACCAACGCGTCAGGAGAGAACCATCTGGAAATGAATTTCTTACACTTAGCACTCTGACCGCTAGCAAACATGTCTAATGTACAGACGCCCCAAGCTTGCTGTAATTCCTCAAAAATTTCGTCTCTCACGCACCAGTCATCTAAATCTAATACCCGGGATGCCTCGTCCGCCGCCGTATTAAATGATCTGGCCACCCAGAAAAATTGCGCTTTCAATGAAATACGATCACAGAGGGACCAAATCTGTTGCGCTAACTTTTGAAGCTCCGGTTTTGTGCTTCCTTTTTCTAAAATGGCTATAGCCGCTTGATTATCGCAATGCCAGGCGACTTCCTCCCCCTCCAAATGAAGTCTGAAAGCCGTTAACCCTTGAAGCACCGCGAATAGTTCTCTGGCTGTGCTCGACTCCCCCACTAGGTATCCGGGCAAATTGGACGAACTAACGATTTTGGCATTGTAATCCAGACATAAAATGGAGCCTGCTCCAAACTCAGATGCGTCTGAAAAAGCTAAAAACGCGCTTCTCAACTGCATCGTATTATCAATGGAAACTCCTCTAAAACTCTCGATCCAAACCAACCAATCCCTCAACTCGCCTTTCTCTTCCTGAGAGAGAGGCCACCTGAAGGATAACGCGCTACCTATCCTTTCTTTCTCGGCGATGGCTGACGCGATCGCTCTCCACTGACGCCTCCTTTCTGGAGGGATAACGAGGAACATCGAAGCAATCGTACCTTGCCATCTCAATCTATCCATCAAGGAGGGACCCCTCTTAAGAAGCAAACTATGAGCTATGTTGCGCGCTTTTACTTCCCTACTCTTGGTCACATTCAGTGTGAACTCTTTCAAATCGATCTCATGGCCTAACCATATGAGCTTCTGGAGAGGGCTCCAGGAACACTTCTCTTCGGCCAAAAGAAAGCCGGCATCTTTCAAATCTGCCTAACCGACTCAATCGATTCTTCGCAACCACGTGCGGAATTGCCCATATCAAACCGTCGTCCAGATAAACGGCAACATTAATGCCTTGCATCCTCCACTTATACAAGATGGGCCTCATAATTTTCGTGAATACCATAGGAGCCGAGCAACAGCCCAAAAGGAAGAACCAAAAACTTATAGAACTTCCCGCGCCAACTAAATCCTAAAAGATTGGTATAGGAAGGATTGATCCTGACATGGTGATACCCTGCTTTCAGATCGAAGGACCCCATATACCCGCCCCTAGGCAACGCTGGAAGGACTTTAGGCAAGTCTTCGAACTTGACTTTATACCTCGTAAGCGATTTATTCAGATGGGAGAGGTCCAGAATCAACCTAGGTTTCTTACCCACGGCCACCATTAAAGGATTCACTCTGATTTTACCCCGATCTTGCTGAACTACTTCTTCAATGGCTGTGCTAGCTAACAGCTTCGAGATCTCGCCGTCAACAAAATCGCTGAACTCCAGTGTAGAACTGGAGTTTGACCTAATGAAATCTGTATACCGCCCCTCCTTGATATCAAGGGAATACCCATGCAGTAAAACATTCTCAACGAAAGAGGACAGTTTTAATGAAGACCAAAAAGTAAAATGATTGTGGATATTCCCTGCTTGAAACTGACCTTCAATGTTTCTGGGGCGCTCGACAGTCCTGGGCGAAGTGCCCAAATCGCCCACAGTTATAACACATGTCCCTTGGCCTGCCTTGACCGAATCTTCCTGCATTTCGCTCCTGGCGATCTTGGTAGGAGGGCTGTGCGGCCGGAGAGGCGCGGGCCCACGACGCCCCTCCGAACCGAAAGGGCTGTCGGCCCTGTGACGGACGGCGTGAACCGTGATTCTAAACAAATGTATCAAAACCTAAATTGCTATGAGAATTGGTACTCACAGCGAACAACACAGAACCTCTCTGAGATAACTTACTCCACAAAGTTGAGCGAGGAGCTGGCTTCTTGCACTCTTTCTTCTTCCTTTCTCGAAGGAACGCCGCTAAAATGGGGTTCGAGGACTGAAGGGTCTCTGCCCTACTATGTTGATCATAAAACTCGAACACTTCCGGATCCGTGTCGGCGATGACCAGTAATTCGTTTCGCTGATTGAGCTGCCCAATCACCTGGTTGAGGCTGACCTTGAGTGATTCGGGCGCTGATTCCACCAATGCTGCCAAGGAGGCAGCTACTCCCGCGTTGAATTCATACTGGCGACTAAGCCCGGCCTTCTTGAATGCGGGCCTCGCTGGTTGTCCAGGATTCAGAGTCATAATGCCGAGGCCGGCAGGCACGGTTGACGTGCAAGGAACCAAACTAGTCGAAACTGGCTGCACCAGGTTCATTGAAGAAGTGCCTAGGCCGGATGAGACCGGTGGCGAATTCCTTGGGTGGGACAATGCATTAAAAGCCTGCACTGCCTCTTCTCTGGCCTGATCGAGCAAGTCGTCCAAATCTTCTCTGGTCATCTGGTAGATTTCCACTGCCGCGTCCGGGACTTGACCATCGTTGGATTTCTCCATGTCGAAAACGATCCGAATAACGAGACCAACCGCACAGTAAAGCCGAAAAAGCCGGAATGGCAAGAACTCACATGAGGCCCCGCCCCCATGTGAGTTCGCGCCGAAGCGGCGCGGTTCGCGCCGCCGCGGCGCGGCTCCCGCTTACGCGCCGCGTCCTTAGGAAATTCAAAACAACACTTCTGTGGTGCAAAAACTCGACGCACCTTCACTTACACTAAAAATGCTCGCTACCGTAACCCTAAGTTCGGACGCCGGCTTTTTAAATGTTTCCTTTTCTTTTCAAGAGTTTTTCCTCTATGTTTCTGTTGTTTTTTGTTTTCTTTTCTTCGCATTCGATGATATCCACTACTGGGAGATGTGGCAAAGTGATCTGTGAGCCAGGAGCTTGCACAGAGCCGCAGCCGCATCTATACGAAGTTAGGGGTTGCACAGAGACCGCAGGGAGGTGTGACTGTCAGGGCGCGATTTTGTTTATGGTGTTCTTGAGGGCTCTTGTTTCTTTTTTCCTTCATTGAGGAATTACTTATCAGCTACTGTTTCATAATTGATCAGCAATTATCCTTGACACTTTTATCGCGGGAGCTGTCTTTAAGCCACTCCATCTGATTTTCCAGTCTTTCCTGAAGTATCGTGTGCCTCAGAGAATGAGGGCCAAGCTTGTAGCTTGCTGGTGAGCTTTATTTGAACAGAATCTGTGACCAACGTAGTGAACTCCATTTCATTGGGAGGGCGATACTGGGGCACATACATCATGACAGTGGTGATGACGGACAGTTCGGAACGGCTACCAACAAGATCTATTGATTCCGAAACAATAGGGCCCTTCAGACAGGGGTATCTATTCTGGCTGTGTAGAGGGATATGCATTAATTTGAAAAAGGAATGGAAGATTCGGAGATATTTGGGTTGAACACGTTGGGGATGGTGGTCTGAATGTTCAGTTTTCCTTTTCCCCTTTCATGTGCATTGTAATACCAACCCCTCGTCACTCACGACTTTTCGTGGTTTTCCTGTTTAATGTGTATTGGGGGAGGGGTCGTACGGACTCGAGCGAAATCCCCAACCGATGATGTGCCCTTCTGGACAGAAATCTAGAGCATTTTGGATAGAAGGCGAATGCATTGGGCGTCTTGAAGCATGTTGTGAAAGGGGAAGCGGCTACTAGGAGACCCTTTTGGAGTGGCGACTGCTATTACATAAATCTCGATAACCTGCCCTGTTTGTCGTCGCCGTAAACTCCTGAACTGGGCTTCTTTGTCAACGCTCCGGGTCAGAAATTAGAAAGGTTCCCTCTATAATGAGCTAGGAGGACCTACGGACTGCGGCCGCTCGACCTTGTTAGTGTGAAATCGAAG